GAACAGCCTGAAACATCCCAATGAACACTTCAACCAATTACTGTTTCCCTGCACCAGTCATGACATGTCGAGGAAAAAAGCTGCAGAATCTGGGGCTACCTTCAGCTTTTTTTTTTCTTCTAGAGATTATATTCAACAAATCCCACCCTTCCAGCCTAACAAAGAAACAAGGATGCCTAAATGGCCAACATTCTTTGAAATAAACAAGCCTGGTCTTAAATGTGCTGGCTGCTTTAAAGAATACCTAATGTTAAAACAGAAGAGACGGTTAGAATCCATCCTCAGGAATTAGTGTTTATAGCACTAACAAGCATACACAAATATTAACGGATGTCAGATGAGATGATATATTTTCCCTAAATGTATGTTATTGATCTTCAATGCATGTTTAATTTTTAACTTTTTTTTTGGACCTCATAATTATTTATACTTAGAGTAAATTTTTAATTAATTGGCTGAAATAAACTTCTTTCTAGTGACATCTAGAAACTTCTAAAATCATTCACTCTGCTTAAATTCCACCCTACCCACCCACTTTTTCAGCAGCCTTGGTTCTGGAAGTATATTCCCATTCATTTTTCGAATAGGGATTTTTTTTAAATCTTGGTTTAAGAGTTAAAAGCCATGAGTCAAACCAACCAGCTACGAGGAAACACAACATTACAAATTTGATTTGAAGCACAAAAGTATTTGAAAATCAGACAAAAACACAAAAGTACAACACTGTGCCATAGCTTCAATGAGGTAAAGAACTACAATCCCATGAAGCATTAGATAAATAATAGATAAATATAAAACTATTAATTTAAAGATGTTGATTACGTATATAGAAAAACAATATTTCACATTTATTGCAAAATATGCAGGTGGGAAAGTGTTCTTTTGGCAAGGTTTGTTTCGCTTCTCTGAGTGGTGTTGTTTTTCATAGGTAATGTAGTTTTTACCAGGATTTTCACTATTAAACAAATATATTAAAGGAAAAATATTTGAAATAATGGGGGCTAACAGCTTCAACAAAGGCATCTATTAACAGCCTCATAGCTCAAAGTAGGTCTGTCTTTAAAGATTCACAATTTATAATTAAAAATCAGTTGCCTTATGGAGAAAATAAAAGGGATTTTTACTTCCGGAACCGGACTGTTGCACTCTATAGACTGCAAGCTTGTATTTAGATCTGGCTCCATTTAATCAACAACTGATGGATAGAACCAAGTCCCCATCCTACATTTGTTTCTTTTTCCTTTATTCATTTCACCTGGATGTACGTCACAATATGGAAGAAAAAAATCTATCGCTACTTCCATACTTGCATTTTTTAGGGGAAGCTTCAATTAAATAAGCATATTGTGGTGTGTCTTTTTGCTGCAATTCAATATATATGTTTACCTGAATGAATAGGCCACACAACCCCATTTGCCCTTCCAGTGGTTGATGCACAAAACATCTGGGTGAACAAGTAGTGTGTGTAGATTGATTCCCATCTGAACACAACAGGGCAGTTCACCTGCAGAAAAAGGTCTTCCTTAAAAGGTCCAGATATATCACTTTGGAAGTGACAGTCCATTTTTATAATATGCAGTCCCATAGTGTTATGTAAGACAGTTGTAAGCATGATCGAGCAAGGAAACAGAAAAGATTATTATGGTATGTTTGTGTACCTCTGTTGTGGTGATGAACTGGGTGAGATGCTGCAACTGCAATAAACGAGGGTTGTTCTGATGCCCATGGCTGCAGTTTCAGCTCTCTAGCCACGGGCTGTAAACACATAAACATGAAGCTCTCTCTCATCTTGGCCAAATTTCAGATGCACATAAAAAACTGTAAAAAAATAAATAAAAAAAATAGGGATGCAGTGCAGGAGGGTCAGGCATTCAATAGCCACTGAAAAAACTGTGTGAGCGTGTGCAGTGCTTCAGGCAAGAGAAGCTGCAGCTCATCTGGGGTCATAGAATGTGCCCTTTCGAAACCAGAGGTTATATGAGTGAGAACAAAAGAAACAGAGGGAACTTTTAAAACCTGGGCTGTTGGAAATGGAGCCTCTCCCAAAACATTCAACAACCCTGTTTAGTAACCATGGAGACACTAGACTAGAGGAAGAGGGGATATGACTCACTGAGGAACTCACTGTTCATGGGGAGGCCAGGTGGGGGCAGACAGTGAGACAAACAGAGAAAGGGAGAGTGAGAGACTTTATTTTAGAAGATTAAAGTGTTAAAGTGTCCAGAAGGGATCCCCGTTCATTTTGCCAAGTCAAATATAAGTTTTCCAGACCCTCTAGATAAAAAGCTCCAACAGGGCAATCTATTCTTATTAAAATTAATTCCGTTTACAAGAACAATTTATTTTATTGAGTTGCACGTCAGGAAGACCCTCCACCTAAAACTGAAAGATACGAAAGATACCAGCATCACTAGTGAATATGAGATTACCTGGCGTCTTTCAGGCTCGTTTTTCGTCCTGGTATGCTGTCAGTCTTGAATCCTCGTCAGTCCAAAGACCCAACACGCTGCTTTCCAAATCCCCCTCATTTTTTCTAACCTCAGACGACGTTGATCCGTCACTTCTCTATGCTTATGACGAGAAAAGCAGGCTCGTCACCGCTCGTGCTGCTATATGCGCGTTGCACCGTTAAATTTACCAGTAGCTGGACTAGCAGTAGCACCGGCAGACCTATAATAAATATACGGTGGGAAATGCCTCTCAATCCGCTAAAATTACAAGCGGCCATACCTCCCTCTCTTGAGTTTGGTGACCCGTGGGAGCGCAGACACCAGAAATGAAGAGTCGGCGCCGCCGTGACCCTCTGGCTTGAGGGCACTGGGATTGAAAGCTCACGGCTGGACAGTCCATCAACAAATACTAGTATGTGTGAGTCAGTGTTTGCTTGCACCTTCCAATATTCCACACGAGAAAAAAAAACAGCTTATTAGAAATACTAAATATCTTAATTAAAAACCTAAAAAATTCAGAACGGTTTGTGTGAGGTTTAGGGGACAGAAATTGGAACAGTAAAGATAATAGAAGTCAGTGGAACATCCCCGCACACGTGCACACACACCACCCACGCGCGTTAACATATTTCACTACTATGTAGTATGCAAAACAGCGCGTCAAACGAGTAGGATGTCCAAATAGCCACTAGTCATAATACAGTAGGTGAGTAATACCCTCGTGACGTAGCCTACCGCATCTGCTGGGATCCTGAAGTGTGCAGCCAGTGGTTACTCCCACTAAATACAACAGTGGCCGGGAATTTAGTTCATAAATTTGGATGCGGCTCATCGTTATAAATACAACCTTTCAAACCGATAAAAAATAGTGCAATTAGTAGAATTTATCTGAGTTATTGTCTAACAATTAAAATTATCAAGAATAGCCCTACTGGTGCTTTGCGACATTCACAAACAAAAGGTCCATTTGCGGTAGTAAAATCGACCAGTTAGTGTCTTGTGCGTCGCTTTCCCATTAAAAACTTCCCTTGCTACTTTTGCGTTTTTCTTATGTGATTTGTTAATGAACAATTAACGTTACAGTATTTGCTGACAGCTAAAGCAGGGGCGGATTGGATGGACATTGGGTGCTTATTATTTTTGAAGATCTATTCACATTGTTCACACATGACAATCTCAGTGTTGAATGAAAAGTCCTACTTAACCATAAGTCAAATTGAAAGCTTGTATCTTAAAGCAAGCATTTTGAAAGGGGTCACTAATAATGTTGTATTTTGAAATTTCGTAAATCTTTTTTTGTGCCGTCTAAACAATTGTAACATAACATTAGGCCACAAACAAAAGGAGAATAATTGCGATTTAAAAAAAAGTCTGGAAAGCTATAGGGTGTATAGCATTGGTGCATATTAATTGCATTTAAATGTAAATATAGGCTGTGTTTATGACGACGTTGGCTCGATTTGATGTTAGAATGACAAGCAGCCAACATTAAGTTTTTTATTTTATCTTTAAAGTTTTTTTGTATTTATGTAAATGCAAATGGACAATGAAATAATATAAAACAATATGACAACCCGATGCATGTAATCAGGTGCTGCAAAGCGCATATTTGTTGCATATATTATGAAACATATAAGCGATAACCAAGAAACAGGAGTACACTACTTCAACCAGACAGTGGCATCACAACTATCAAGCAACTGACTCAACATAGAGAATGCACAGAAAGTGGCAGTGAAGAGTAGGCCTCTTTCTTTTTTCCCATGCATCAATGTAGACCTAAAATATAACATTAGACAAAAAGCCAAACATTTGTCTTTAGATGTTCAAGTCCCTTGGGTTGATCTGTTGCAGATAACTGTGTTGTAATTGTCCAATATTTTCACATTCTCAACACAGTGGGGCAGCCACCCCCCAGGCACACACACACACTCCAATACCACACATTTACCAACAAGCTGATCAATGAAAAAATACAGAATGAAAACCTACCCCACAAATAAAAATTCTCATAGCTCCTTCCTCAATTACTTCCTTTCCATAAATTCCGTAATTCCCATACAACCTTTTTTTTTTAAATTTCTCCCAAATCTCTGCTTGTGTCCTCATCTGAACTCATCTGAGCTCCTGTTAGAATGACTGATGCCAAAAGCACAATTGCCTCATTCCAAATGCCTGAGTGGTGCTGCATGGCCCGGAATGTAAAAGAGGCACCAAAACCACTCACACAAGAAAAAAATAAAAACGAGAGAGCACTGTTTTGATAACATTTCAAAAGGAAATATTATGGAATATAACATTATAATGAACCATGATCATGCTCATGCCGCAATCATTCATACAACATATGAGTAAAGTTTTTATAATCAAGTGTAATTGGACTGTCATCTGAATGAGATCTGAAACTTTATTAAACATTTTAGTGAAGCTGATAATAATTGGAGGATATTACCCATTGTATTTTTCCTGCTTGGCCACCGTTGGATCTCATTTAATTTTCATTGCATTTCCCCAACCACAGAGTAGAAGCAGGACAAAATTAAACAATGATCAGAACAGAATGTGTATTTAAATATTTTCACCTCAGATACAGTATATGGAACAGACAGATACAATATTTAATCACAAAAAATCACTGTACGACACAGCGGACCACAAGAAATATGAACAGAGGGATGAAAGAAAAAGAGGAGGCGAATATGCATTGTCCACACCCTGAGTTCCAGGCCATCAAATCCAGGGTGGAAAGTGCCCTGGCCTCTAAACATGTTGACAAGGACAGCATCATTCGGGGGCAGTGCATGGGTGTCTGTCCTCCTGTTGTGATAAAAACACACAAATGAGAGTTGGATGTTGGGCACAAAGTGACCATGCTGCAGATCCAGAGCGACGGTTGAAGGGATCAAATTTAGACAACATTCCTTTGGGACCAGACCAGGCCACTGATAAAAAATATTACTTAAAATGTACTTGCACAAACCCAAGCTGAACAATTTAAAGCCACATAAAACTGGTATTTCCCTCATGTGTCCTTACAGCAGTTCCAAAACACTGTCATGACATTGCTGCTTTAACGTATGTCTCTTTCAGCAGGCAGGACTCTGAGATTCGGTTGTTTTCATAGCAGTGAGCTCCTCAAGTGATGGAACCATTTGAGTAGCTTATGTACAAATGCTGTTTTTTTTTATGTTGAACTTAAAAGTGAGAAGAGGGCAGAGTTTGTGCAGTCACCATTTACAGATGCTGAAGGAGTGGACCGACCTTTAGGATTAAGTAATCTTCCCAGTGACAAAATCAGAGGTTTTGAGACTAAAACAGACAGAGAAAGAGGGAGCAAGATCAGGATGTAGACAAAAACCTTTTGTGTGGTCTCTCACATTAGTTTAGTTTTTGGGCATCACTGAAATGTGGGTATGTGTGAATCACATTTGCACAGTTGCACTCTAAAAGAAAGGGACTAGTTTGTTCCCTGCATTTCATCAAATTGGTTTCTTCGTGAAACTAGCAGTGTTCATTCTTTGTTAAATAAGTCCCTAGCCCAAGCTGTATAGCAATATTAGTTATTTTTGTGCGTGCATTTACAGTTGCAAGTCAGTGTATGAAAAGTATATGCAAGTATGTGAATGTTTTGTGATCACATAGTATGTTTGTGTTCGTGCATGTGTTTCTGTGTGTGTTCATGTGTATGGATTTGGATCTTGATTGTCACTGCTGGAGAAGTCTTTATTTAGTCCATAGCTCTGAAACTCTTCAGTCTAACTCAGTAAGTGTCTTCCAAAGCTTATCCTTTAAAAAATATTAAAAATATGAAAAGGGTACTGTCCATTTCATCTGTCAAGAAAAGAAAAGAAAAGAAAAAAAAATAATAGTCAAATGAGGGTTAGAATTAGTCTCAATACATAATGACAAAAATTTACATTACAATATAAATATAGTTTATGGCAGCATTCAAGTATCTACTTTTCATACTGCAATCATCTGAGCTATGTCCCAGAATTAATGTCTTACCTCTTTAGGGATGCCAAGATAATTCCAACTACAGGCTGGTGACGGTGAAGCCTTCTTCGCTGGGCTGGTCAAGAAGCTGGCAAAGTACCCCTCCCCGGGCTGTGTGGGGTGCATAACGGTGTCCAATGGGTGCATAGCTGTCCAAGTTACCATGGTAACCCATCTCTTCATGCTGTGGGGAAGAGTCCAGAGTTCCACTCACACATGAAGTTGACATGGAAGGACCTCTTTGTAAAGGGGAAGGGTAGGATGAATGGGATGGAACTCTCATCCCAGAGACCATCAATGACATGTCCCGTTTGTGGGAGGGCAAAGAGACTGCTGGTGGTCGCTGTTCCTCATAGTTTTGGGGACTGCCAGCAACACTTCCTCCTTGCCCAAACCAGCAGGGAGAGCCACTGTAACTGGGGGAATCATACTGGGAGAACTGGTCTTTTGGGACCCGATGCGGACTCATGGCAGAACCACAATGTGGCAAGAGGCGAGGGGTTGGCGAGAGGGTTGGGCTAAAAGTCCTGGCAGCATGTCCATAAGTCTGGGAGGGAGGACCAGGTTTAGGGTACTGCTTTAGGGCATCTGACTGATTTGATAAACTGGGGGATACAGAGGCAGAGTCTGGAGGGTAGACATGAGCAAATCTCTCATCTGAGGAGGGAGTAGAAGTATGGAAAGAATATGGAGAGGGGTATTCACAGGACTCTGGGGCATGGCTGAGAGGAGACAGGCTACTACTATCTCCACTGTAGTAGTCCAATGCTTCCTGGTATACACCCCCTGAACACATCTGCCCTGACCCTGATGGGGCTGAAGGCTTTTGAGATTTGGTTTTTGGTGGTGGTGGATGATCTCTTTGGCAAGGAGAGAATCCTCCCCTGCCTCTGGCTCCTCTCGGTTGTCTACCACCTGTAGCACTACGTTTTGGCCCTCCCCCTTGCATAGGAGGGCTGGCAGGTGATCCTGGGGGAACAGAGCATGCTTCCTTCTCATTGTGTGCCTCAGACTTTTTTCTTCGCCCACGACCTGGTTTTGCCCCCCCTTGGAATAGTACATTCTGACTCCAGTTGTAAGACGGGCCTGCCGAATTCTCATTCCAGTCAAGCATTAGCTTCTCCAGGCTTGAAAGACTAGACTGACCCTCAGGCATAGGAACATCCCTTGGGCGAAATGTTCCCCCCACAACACCCATCCCTCCTCCACCAGTGTGGGAGGAATCTGAGGAGGATTCAGAGAGTGTGTCAGGGCAAGGACGCTGTTTGGCTTTTTGGGGTGTGTAGTTTGAGATGTCCAGAATGTCTTTGGATTCTGATCCAGTTCCAGCTACCCTATAGTCAGAGTAACCATGAAACTGATGAGTACCATATGCATCAACACCCCAGTTATTTCCCCCTTGTCTGTATCCCCACTGAGCTGTAGAGGTGTACTGTCTGCAACCCTCAGGCGGAGAAGAGGATAAGGAATAGGGGCTAGACTTTGACATTGACATATAACTTCCACTCGGTGAGGTTGGGCCAGAGTCCCCTCTCTGTATGGTTGAATGGGGTGGGCATGGATATCCACTATAACTGCGCTTGGCAGAACCCTGGTAGTTGGAATAACTCATCTGACACTGTGCAGAGGGAACAGAGGGAGTTTTTGTGCCATATGTAAAGCTACAGTCACTTGGCCTTTGCTGTTGTTGCTGCTGTTGAGGGAGGGGGTAAATGCTTCCTCCTTGAGGAACCCCAGCACTATAACTAGATGGATATTGAGGATAACCTCCAGATGGATGTAGGGAGCTTGGTGAACGGGAAAGCAAGAGTGCAGGGGATTTAGGGAAGGATGGGATGGGAGAAGTCTGTGAGACACTGTATGAATATGAGGGTTTAGTTGTCGAGCTGCCTTGAGTTTGGGGTGAGGTTAATGGCGCCCCTTCCCCAAGACAGGCTGCACCTTTAGGACTTCTTTTAGGAAAGGCAGGAGACCAACGATGGGCTGCACCAGGGCTGCTACCCTCATATCCTGGGGTGAGCTTACGACCTTCCTGGCGTCCAGCAGGGCTGGACATAGAGATATCTAGCAGGTCAGATGAGTCATCAGAATAAAGAAGAGAGCGAAAATATCCTGCAAACATTCCCTGAGACTCTTCTCCACTGCCTCTCATACTGGGGCTGTGGTACATCCCCCCCTTACTAGCCTCACTGCTTTGAAAACTTCCACGAGGGGAACAAGGGCTCTGATAACTGCTAGCTTTCTCAGAAATATCTCTGTCGCCTTTCCCTATCCAATCTTCCTCTTGTGCACCTGGACCATTTTTTAAATTCCCATTCTTTCGTGATCTGCGTTTTCTAACCTTCTCACCTTGTGCAGAGTCACCTAAAGCTGCCCTACTTATTCCCCCAGCAACACCCTTGCCTCTTTTTCGAGGAGTTCCTGGTTCAGATGCAGGGGCCTTCCGCTTCTTGCCAATTGTTTCAAAAAAGTCACTGAATGACCTCTTAAAGGAATCAGAGGATCCAGCTGCTCCCCCTCCTCTACTCCCCATACAGCCTGCACGACCACCTCTCCTGCGGAATGCTGTAAGGCGGTGCAAAAGAGTGGAAAGGGATGGATTTTCTGGTGGTATGTGGAAAGTTTCAGGCTCTGTTGGGGTCCAGCAGCGTGGAGGAGAGCAGCGGCCTGTGCTGGGAGGTTGTCTGTTCAAGAAGGCCAGTTTGGAGAGGACATCTGCATATTCTACTTTAACATCATTGGTATCATTAACATATGAGGGGGTGGGCTCTCTTGAAACATTAGGTCCTGGCTCACCTCCTACACTCCCCTCGGGCCCCTCTCCTGTTGTGACCCCTTCCCCACGGGGTCCAGCACACACTGGCTCCAGGGATGAGATCTTGTAGCTTTTCTGTCGTCGGCTCATGTGTACAGGTATTCTGGCTACTTTTACCACAATCTTCCTCACACCTAAATAACGTCCCTGTCGTCTCCCTCTAACTGAGTGGTGAGTAACAATGCCCTCTCCTTCTGATGTTCTCATACTATGATTTGGTGTAACACCTGCTGGTATAGTTGATGATGGTAAAACCTCAAATGATGAGGCAGCATCACACACCTCTGGGGGATGCTCCTCCATTGGTCTTATGTCCTCTGTCCTCCAGACTCTATTCTCCTCCTCTTCTTCATCCTTTTGGTCCATTTCTCTTTTGAACATATTTTCCTCAGCAGCTCTACGTAAACGGGATGATTTACGAAGATGGCAGGGGAAACGTGGCCGGCCAGAGCTCCGCAGGGTATACTTCCTTTCAGCCTCCACAGAGGTCATGACACTGGCTTGGCCTATCATACGAATGTGGTCTAGGTCGCTGGTGTGATCCATTTCTGGCTTACATGTTGAATTTTGTTCTGTCTCCTCCTTGGGTAAAGTGGAAGGGTTGTATTGAGGAGGTGTAAAATTGTTTGGAGGAAGGGTGGTGTGTAACAAAGGGGCTGACTGAACATGTACATTATGTGTGCCAGTCTTGGAAGGTAAAGACAAGTCTTCTGGAATAAGGGAAGGGTCCTGCTCCATAACTGAGGAGCCAGTGTCTATAGGCGTGCACATGCCTTTCTGTGTTAGCATGTTTGTGTCCATCCACATATGTGTATCCATTGGAATGTGGGTATGAGGCTGCAGGTGTGTGCTCGACTGTGTGAGTGAGTGTTGTGTTGTACACATCTGTGGTTGTGTGTTTTGCTGAATGAGCATTTGTTCTTGTGTGTGTATTTGCTCCACATAATCTGTCTGCCTACGTTTCCTTGCTCTACGTCGAAGTTGCTCTTCATGGTTCCGCAGACCATTAGCTAAAGAGGGAGGCGAATAAAAGCGGTAATGTAGTGAGCTGGCTGGATTAGAATCAGTGGGTCCTACAGATGTGCCCCCAGGTTCTTCATCCCCCTCCCATAAAGAGGGGCCCTCATTATCACTGCAATCCTTGTCAGCCAGTGCCTCACAAGTCAAACGAACACCTCCAGAGCGTAGGCGACCTGACAGACGGCTCATTACCCCCAAAATTGCAGATCAGGATCTTCGTATTTATATATATGTGTCAGTGATGGTTCTGTGTTAGGTTTAACTGTGAGCTGGGTCCAGTTTAGCTGGTAGGTTGTTTCAACTCTTTCCTCTCGCTGTTATTCTTGGCTAGAATGAATTGGACCATCAGGCAGTCTTGGGGTCCCCAGTTTTCAGGAGTGCAGATAGCAGGTTATTTCCCAGGGAAAAGGGGACAAAACACACAAAAAATATGTTCATATTTACTTACTGTTGAGGAATGCAAACAAATACTGTACAACATAGCTGAAAATGCTATTGAAATAGCTGCAGTTGTTCTTACCATGTCTGCTGCTGTGGCCATGCTTTGTGTTATCCCTGTGGGCGAAAGGACACTTGTCACTATGGCAATACAGTTAGAGAACAGTTGTAACCATGGCAATAGAATATGAGTGGAACGGTAACCATAGTTACACAGTTTTCCTTTCCAATGCAATAGATTGCAGGCCTCACTATGGCAATACGACATATGTCTCACTGGATAGGCAACTGTTTTATATGCTATACATTTGGCAATTTAAAGCATTTTAAGTAAACTTTAGTGCAGAAAAATGAAAAATAACAGGCACGCAAAGTCTTGAACACAGTTTAACATCTGTGATCACTAGCAATAATCAAGAATCAATAATCACTCAAAAATCCTTAGTGCAACGTCTGAATTTACAAATTAAGAGGAAAAAGAGAATTATCGACATCATCTATAAACTGTTGAGAAATGCCCAAAGTGAAATGTAAGTTTAAATTTTAACATGTACAATATTCAAAACAGTATTTGATGAAGAAATGTTTGCCTGCCACAGTTTATTACTTTTCAGTTTTATTGTGTGATGTGTCATGAGGCCTCGCTATCATTGTTTTTAAAATACATGGTGATAGTTTCCATATATTTTGATGCAAAGTATCAAAATCATCAAATGATTTAAAAAATGTCTGCATTGTAACTGGTTGAAAATTTGGGCCAGCAAAAAAGCACTGGCTCTCACTAACAAAAACCTATATATATATATATACATAAAAACCCCAAACATATTGGTGAGCTACACAAAAATATAACCTGCAGAGAAAAGGCTAGAATGCAGAGAAGTTGGGACATGGCAGCAGGGGGCAGCAAAGAGACAAGAGGAAGAGGATGTAGCTGGATATAGAGTTCCTAAAGAAAGAGATGGATGGATGAAAGAATATGTTAATAAAATAGGGGAATTTAGAGTAAAAAACACATTTTTCAAATTGCAACCTGAAAAATAAAAGAAAGTAGATAAGTGCATGCAAAAATTTTTCAAACAAAAGGAAAGCTGTCATATTTACATTTAACTCACTCCCATGTAATTCCAACCCTTTATTGTTATTTTTATTCTTAGGCAGAATAAAAGTGAATACTGCATAAACCAAAATCAATCAATCAATCAATCCTATACAGCCAACACATGTGCTATATTCCAAGTATTCTGAAGCTATATAATATTTTTGTGTGTGCACAAAACATTTCATGTAGAAAGCAGCAGCCTTGCCATTTCAGACTAACATCTCATATTGCTTTTAGAACAATATAGCACAGGATCGAAATGAGATCGGGGTGAATAAATGAAACAAATTTTTCATTTTAGGTTAACTATTCCTTTAAGAATTGAATTTCATTTGTGATAAACATTGTAGTGGTGTAAATAAGTCCAGGGGCTGGACTCTCACACACACATTACAGTTCTATCCATCTCTCAGTCTGCTCCACATGGTTTTTATTACTAACTGGCAATGATAGGGAAAGTGCAGAAAGAGAGAGTGAGCGAGCGAACCAGAAACATGTGCTACAGTACATGGTGCCGAACAAGCTGCCACATTTGCATTCTTGAAGACACTGATACAGAGACAAATATACATAAAAAAATGCACCCTTGCACATAACTTTTAACTTTCATAACATAACTTTTGCTAAATAAAATTAAATATTTAGTCTCCACAATCCTTTATTTCACTACAAGCGCTGCTGAAACTTTACATTTGCTGCACATAATTATTTCTTCCACCTAGAAAACAAAACAGCATTTCCCCCGTACACTTAATATTCTGTGGCACAAACAGAATTGCTGCAATCAAGTGGTTAGAGCCATGGATAAGCTTCCCACACTACTGTATTGCCAGATTGGCCTGATCTTCTTGTGCTTTGATTCTCCCAGATTTCAGTGCTGCCTGCTCACAATTTTCTTTTCTCACAGGTTTTCAGAGAAATTTAGATCTGAACACATTGCTGGTTGCTTCAGAACAATTATTTTTTTGTGTGTGCTGCAAGGCCCATGACTTTCACTCAATACCAAGTTTCTGACACTTCTTTCAAAAGTGCTCTCCAAAATTTTTCAGTCTTTGCCTGACATCTTGAAACCATGCGCATGTTCACGGTGCCAAGGGCAACAAAACAATCCAAAACATCAATGAAACTCTCTTGTGTTTGACTCTCCTCCTCTTTGAAAGCTTAATTTTGTTGTCAGTAAACATAGTGATATTGATGTACTATACCAAAATGGTCTGATCTTGGTCTTCAGACGGATTGCTGTTAAGGCATGTTCAGGCATGTTTTGGCTACTATCCTGCACTTATGTCTCACTCACTAGTGAGGTCTACCTGGGACTTCAAACTTATTACCCTTTCATTGGGCTGGCAATAGATGGTGAAAGCTTGTGTTTGAAGGTCAGCTTGAATCTGTGTGTCAGTTGAAGAAGTTTTTCTACCATTTGAAGTATTCTGTTGTGAAATCTTCCTCTAATGGCCACATCCTGTGATGTTGACTACAACTCTGTAAGCCTTAATCTCCTTGACACCATTTCGAACACTGAAAACAAGAGCACCAAGGTCTTTGAAGATCAAATTGCTGATTGTCATGCCTGGCATCTATTGGCTTGGTATCTAATCCATTTTACATGCTCGTTGTACACCACACAAGAACTCATAGCAGGAACTCATCACAAATTCACTTAAAGGGGTCATATGATGCTAAAAAGAACATTATTTTGTGTATTTGGTGTAATGAAATGTGTTTATGCGGTTTAA